CTTAACTTATCGATGGACAGTCATCATTACAAACGTAACAGAAGAAAAATTTCGACCGCATTTCATTCACTCTTACATTTCACCCTCACAACCACTCAGTTAAATCCATTATTCTTACAATTTTAAATGATCTCAAAACAGTCGAAAGACTGGCATTATCTTTTCGCAACCTCCACTTGTGTTATTCAAATGTGACGGAAACATAGGTAACCTTTTGGTCGGAAGTTCTTTCCAAACTGATCACCAATCTGGAACTTTTAAATGCACTTGCGCACGATGCAAAACTTGTCGTTTCATTCACAGTGCTGAGAAAATATCGGAACTCAACGCTAGAAACTTTATACTATCTAATCATTTTGAGCAGAAAATGGCAGTCTACGGTCTCTTCTTACATTTAGGTAGCTCGGAAAGCCGCAAATCTCTTGAACAACAGTTGACCTTTCAAATTGGCACTCTCAATCTCATAGGTATCAAGGCCCCCCGCTTTTTATTCTACTAAGTTATTCATATTTTTCTCATCACCATGTTCACGCGCACAACCCGTAATTCTTCTCTTCGCTCTGGGAAAGGGCTAACGCTCGAAACGTCAGTATTTGAAGTCTTTACGGTGGCTAATTTGCCATGTCAATTAGTTAATGTATTTTTGCTCGTTTCATTGTTTATTTTCAGATCGCAGACCTCTTGAACTTCGTATCAAGATCTACTAGTAGTGTTCTTCTATCGCAACGGACCAATTTACGAGCAGACAGAAGGTGTATCGACGAGCAGTCCGGTTTCCACAGTTACTGCTACTCCACTTTACTTAGAGAGTTTTGAAAGAAAGCGATAATGTCATCCTCCCACAAGCCAAGGATCCGGAGGCACTATTTAATTGATAATTTTACCATCTTGGATCGGGAGGACGTCGATAGCCTCCTACAGTATTTGTACAACAACCAAAAGCCTTCCCTTCGCTTAACCAAAGAGGCAAAACCAACAATTCCATCGCCATTCTCGCAGGCTCAAGTAACACTAACACGCAGCATGCAGTTAAAGCGTCGCGATCCACATCCGAAGAAACTGCATCGTTAGACAAACGATTATACCTAATACAGAAAGAGAACGCACTATGCTGATCAGCCGAAGTCTTCTTCAGCACATGGCCAGTTATAAAGAAACTATAATTCTCATCGAAAGGCACTACTTTGCGCTATGACACTCAACCTACGGAGTTGACTAATATAATTATTTAACACGATACCTTTTTCAAACAACTAAAATCAACAATATAACTATGATATGGTTTCACCTCACATGGCTCCAAATATGGACAGCGAGAATGCTTTAAACTTGAATTGGTTAGATAACAATCAATTTTTACGAACTGATGTAATTGCCTGAATTTCTTTACATTACCCCTATTGGTTACTCACTTCTAATTGTCACAAGTATGTCTTTATCATTGCTTGTGACCCTCTTTGCTCCTTTAGTTTGTTTACTTGTACAAATGAATGTCCCATTGTCTTCAGGCTTTACAGGGCTAATATGTAGGCTGCCGTTGGATACTTGAGTGAATCGTCTGTGGTCGAAAGAGTTTCCTCCTTTTTTCCTCCAATATATCTGTGGGCTTGGTTCTCCTTGGGCACCGCAGCTTATAATGCCAGATGTGCCTGCAGTCAAGGTTTGTTGGTCTAGCGTGTTGTCAGTAAATTTCGCTGTTGAAAGAAGGGATAAAAACCACCAATATCATATCAGTACTGTTAAAAGGTCAGTAGTATAGTGATCTTACCCGTCATTATCCAGCATTTTTAGCCTATGCCTGTATCTCTGTAAGCTGAAAAGATGTGTTTTCTTACCATTAACGTAGACAATGTAATATTGAACATATTCCAGTCTGTAGCATTCGTATAATCCTGCATCAGACAACTGCACTTTGTCAATGAACAGTTCACCAGTTTCTTTGGTCCTGATTCTTTGAGAAGTAGAGTTTGCGGTTTGAAGCTTTTGACCATTAATAGCCCATCCTGCATAACTGGCCCCCCCCTTCCCCATCAAAATAAATAACTAAATAAAAATGAAGAGGGAGATTGAACAGGCGTTGATTATGATAATCAAGGCCTGCATGATGATCATGCAAATGCTTCCAAAAACCACATAGGCCAGGCTATATTACTAACTGAGCTTTGAAACCATCACGCAGGAACAAATTATAAGATCAAACGGTCTAGAAAAAACACTTATAATGAACCTGATCCTAGCAGATGAATCCTTTGCAGTTAATAGCTGAAACATTAGATGTCAAGTCTTTCTGATGGTTTTCCGAAATTTGTTCTCTATTTATTAAGTACTCTTATCTCACCCAACAACACAAGATGTATTAGAGAGACTGACCGTCTAAGTTACTAAACGCAGGTAATTCCTAGAAATTCTAACAAGTAGGATCAGTCGTTATGGGAACTACAATTCAATGTGCCCCCTTTGCAACAGAGAAACAGAAAAAGGTAATACTTTTAAAGTTCGTGGGGTAAGGCTCTGGGATGGAATCCCTTTAGAAATACTTAAAAAGGACTTCATAAGTTCCTTTAGTTCTGCCTTTTTTAAAACAATTCTTGAAATTTTAGGAGATTTTTAGGACATAGAGCTACTAGTTCAACAGTTTATACCGTTTATGAAACAAGTTGTTAATTATTTACACAATGACCCTGAATTTCAGACCCAGACCCCTAAATCCAGAGTCCGGCCCACTGAACATTAATTTTCGCCCGGAAGACAAACCAAATGCATGACTGATTTGAAATATAAATGTGAGACTAACAAACTCACCGTTAACAGAAAAGTTGACTTCCCTACTAAAAGACATGCCTGCGTCATTCTGTGCCTCACACCTGTACCGCCCTTCGTCGCTCTTATTTATTTTAGGAAAAAGGGGAAACCAACTCTTTTCCTGCTTAATATCATTCTTTAGCCAGGTTATCTCAGGCTCAGGCCGACCAGCCACAATTTCACACGTCAAGTTCACACTGTTTCCCTCTATAATGAGATTGCTTGCTCCAGAAATATCCACTCTTGGTCGAACTAAAAGGTAAAATAAAAACAAAAACATTAACAGAAAACGATGGCATCACTAAACTGAAAACACTAGTCTATTTCAATGTTAATATTTCTCATTGAGATTTTATGCTAATGTTTCTGGCCATTTTGGGCAGTTTTTATTTTCATTTTCACAGAACAAATTGGACTGAGTCGGGGATTAGAAGGCAAAATAGAGATAAATTGGTTAAACTTTTGGGGGGTACAAACCTAGACTCACATAGTTTTTGCATTCATCTTCGCATTCATTTCATGTGAAGAATTCCATTCCCTTTTCTCAGTTTCTAAGACTTCGTCGTTTGTGTAGTGATGACTCTGATCTTTTCGACAAATTAGAGGCTGTGGGACAGTTTTTCGAGGAAGGTGTTTACTCTGTTTCTGTCGTTCAAGCGGGTCACCACCGCCCTTAACTTATCGATGGACAGTCATCATTACAAACGTAACAGAAGAAAAATTTCGACCGCATTTCATTCACTCTTACATTTCACCCTCACAACCACTCAGTTAAATCCATTATTCTTACAATTTTAAATGATCTCAAAACAGTCGAAAGACTGGCATTATCTTTTCGCAACCTCCACTTGTGTTATTCAAATGTGACGGAAACATAGGTAACCTTTTGGTCGGAAGTTCTTTCCAAACTGATCACCAATCTGGAACTTTTAAATGCACTTGCGCACGATGCAAAACTTGTCGTTTCATTCACAGTGCTGAGAAAATATCGGAACTCAACGCTAGAAACTTTATACTATCTAATCATTTTGAGCAGAAAATGGCAGTCTACGGTCTCTTCTTACATTTAGGTAGCTCGGAAAGCCGCAAATCTCTTGAACAACAGTTGACCTTTCAAATTGGCACTCTCAATCTCATAGGTATCAAGGCCCCCCGCTTTTTATTCTACTAAGTTATTCATATTTTTCTCATCACCATGTTCACGCGCACAACCCGTAATTCTTCTCTTCGCTCTGGGAAAGGGCTAACGCTCGAAACGTCAGTATTTGAAGTCTTTACGGTGGCTAATTTGCCATGTCAATTAGTTAATGTATTTTTGCTCGTTTCATTGTTTATTTTCAGATTGCAGACCTCTTGAACTTCGTATCAAGATCTACTAGTAGTGTTCTTCTATCGCAACGGACCAATTTACGAGCAGACAGAAGGTGTATCGACGAGCAGTCCGGTT